TTTGAGGATGATATGTTGTGGATATTTTATATTTAATTTTATATTTAACAACTAGTCTCTCAATTTTTCTTCTCTTAAAATGACTTTCTCCATCACTAATGATCACTTCAGGCATGTCAAATCTACTAAAGATATTCTTCTTTAAAAATTTAGCAACACTTTGAGCTTCACAGTTTGGAAGAGCTATTGCCTCAATCCATTTTGAGACATAGTCCACACCTATCATAATGTTTAAATATCCAAAAGATGGTATAAATGGTCCCATGAAATCTAAACCCCATACATCAAATATCTCAATCTCTAAAGTAAAATTTATGGCATTTCATCTCACTTAGATATTGTCTACTCTCTGGCATCTATCACATAATTTTATATGTATATTCACATCCCTAAACATAGTAGGCTAATAAAATCTAATTTTCAAAATCTTAAATATAGTTCTGTCAACACTAAAATGTCCCCCAATTTTTGAATCATGACATTTCTTAATAATTTCTTAGATTTTTTCTACACATCTTCTAATTACTTAATCCTTACACTTATTATACAAATATGGGTCATCCCAAAAGTAAAATCTAGCATCATGAATCAACTTTTTTCTTTAGTAGTATGTTAATCCGTAGGACATAATATCACTAACAATGAAATTCATTATGTCAGTATATCACAAGATAAACCACTCTGTAATAGAGTATAGTTGCTCGTCAAAAAAATTCTCATTGATTTCATCTTCATAAGTGTATAAATTTCTCTGTTCAAGTCTGGATAAATGGTTAGCAATTTGATTTTCTGAACCCTTCCTATCCACTACTTCGATATTGAACTCTTGCTTTAAAAGGACTCATCTAATTAATCTTGATTTTGCTTCTTTTTTGGACATAAGATATCTAATAGCAGAATGATTGATATGAACAATACATTTAGTTCCAATTAAATAGGGCCTAAATTTTTCAAAAGCATACACTATAGTTAATAATTCCATCTCAGTTGTAGTATAATTGATTTGAGTTTCATTAAGGGTTTTACTGGCATAGTATATAGTTTTAAAAATTTTATCGTGTCTTTGTCATAAAACTGCTCCAATAATATAGTCACTAGCATCACACATCAACTCAAATGGTTTCCCCTAGTCAGGTGAGACTATAATAGGAGGTGTGACTAATTTTTCTTTCAATATATTGAAGGCATTTAGGCAATCTTAATCAAAATTAAAAGATGGTATAAAGGCATGGTACTTTTGGAGAAATCATTTATATATCACATATAGAATCCAGCATGTTCAAGAAAACTTCTAATTTATCTCACAGCAGTAGGTGGATGTAGTTTTTAAATTACTTGAAATTTTGCTAGGTCTACTTCCATGTCTTTTTCAGATATTTTATGTCCCAAAATAATACCTCTTGTGATCATGAATTGACATTTCTCTCAATTGAGAACAGTGTTAGTCTCTTCACAGCGTTTTAACACATTTGCTAAATGATCTAAACATGAATCAAATGAAGTTCCAAACACTGAGAAATCGTCCATGAAAACTTCTATCTCTTTCTCAATCAAGTCGCAGAAAATAAACATCATGAGCATCTAAATAATAGTTGGTATGTTACATAACTTAAATGTCATTCTTCTAAAAGTAAAAGTTTCATAAGAACTTAATGAATGTAGTCTTCTATTGATCCTCAGGAGCTATAGGTATTTGATGATATTTAGAATATTCATCTAGAAAACAAAAGTATCGGTGACCAGGCAACCTATCCAACATCTGAAATAGAAAGGGCAAAAGAAAGTGATCTTTTCTAGTGGCTAAATTTAATTTTCTATAGTTAATACAAATTTGCCACCCAGTGACATGTCTGGTTGGAATTTGTTCATTTTGTTCATTTACATATAATTTCACTCTCCCCTTCTTAGGAACACAGTGAACAGGGTTAGCTCAAGCACTGTTTGATATAAAGTAGATAATATTTGCATCTAGCCACTTCAATTTTTTCTCTTTGACAACATCTTTCATAATCAAATTTAGTCTCCATTGAGGATCTACTTGGTGTTTATGATTATCTTCCATCAAGTTCCCATGCATACAAATAGAGGGACTAATTCTCTTAATATCTGTTAAGGTCTATCCAAAAGTTTTCTTATAATTCCTCATAATTTTTATTAATTTTTCATCTTGCATATGAGTCAAATCTAAGGCTATGATAGCTGTTAATGAAGATGACTTCCCTAAGTAAGCATATTTTAAGTGTGTAGGAAGCAACTTCATCTCAAGTTTGGGGGGTTCCTCAACAGAAGGAATAAGAGGTTCAATATTTTCTGTCGTATCTAGAATATCAAACCTCTCCTAAACAAATTTTGAATCTTCAATAATCAATAGGTCCAACACATCCTGAAAGGCCATATCTTTCTCGTTATCTAACTTTGTTATACTAATTTAACTTCACAACTTTCCCAGAAATGGCTACTACACAATTCATCAATTAAGTTCATCCGAAAACACGCATCTTTATTTCCTTTAGAAGGATATTTCATAGATTTTAAGATATTAAATATAATTTTCTGATCATTTACTCTTATTGTTAATTTACCTTTTTCCACATCTATCATAGCTTGTTCAGTAGCAAGTAAAGGTTTAGCTAAAATGATTGGAATTTCTTTATCTTCATTCATATTTAACACAATGAAATCAATGGGGAAGATGAAATTATCCAATTTAACTAAAACATATTCTATAACCCCGTTTGGATAAAATATTAACCGACCAACTAACTGAAGTATTACAATAATAAGACACTTCTTCTAATCCTAACCTTCTGAAAATCGATAATGGATAAGGTTTATACTTGCTCGAAGATCGCATAAATCTTTTCCAAAAAATATTTCTCCTATTGTGTAGGGAATAGTAAAACTCCCAGGATAGCAAGTCGCCTGCTGCCAGCCTCCGGCCGCCCGCCTGTAGGTCCAACACATCCTGAAAGACCATATCCTTCTCGTTATCTAACTCTGCTCTACTAATTTAACTTCACAACTTTCCAAGAAATGGCTACTACACAATTAATCAATTAAGTCCATCTGAAAACACACATCTTCATTTCCTTTAGAAGGATATTTCATAGATTTTAAGATATTAAATATAATTTTCTGATCATTTACTCTTATTGTTAATTTACATTTTTACACATCTATCATAGCTTGTCCATTAGCTAGGAAAGGTTTAGCTAAAATGATTGGAATTTCTTTATCTTCCTTCGTATTTAACACAAAGAAATCAATTGGGAAGATGAATTTATCCAATTTAACTAAAACATATTCTATAACCCCCTTTGGATAAGTGATCAACCAATCAGCTAACTGAAGGATTATAGTAATAAGAGACACTTCTTATAATCCTAACATTCTGAAAATAGATAATGGATACGGTTTATACTTGCCCGAAGATCACATAAATCTTTTCCAAAAAATCTTTCTCCTATTGTGTACGGAATAGTAAAACTCCCAGGATAGCAAGTCAGGCTGCCTGCTGCCAGCCTCCGGTCGTCCGCC